CCCCACGCTCATCTTTGTGTATGTAGTGCTTTGAAGTTCTTATCTCCAACTCTTTTGATGAACCAGCTTGAAGGATTATACCAGCATTCAAGGCTGTTTTCTTGACAATTTCACTCATCAACAACAGTGTCAAGGATGAGTGATAAAGTTGAATTAATTAATCATGTAATGGAGAGATAATCCAAGTAATTGTTCTATCACATTTTTCAACATGTTCCTTCATGAGAAACACCAGACAGCAGCGGTGAGCTAGGAGGCCGTGATGGGAGGCAGACGAGCGCGGATGGAGGGAAGAAATGAAATGAATAAGCACCTATTTAGGTGTGCAAGGAATGACACAAAAAGATGAGTGAGTTCATTGCATGATGAGCAGACAAAACGGAGAAAGGCCAAACACATGAAAACAGAGAAGAAAAGAAATGAGAAGGAAAGCAAACCTGAGAAACACCAGACAGCAGCGGTGAGCTGGGAGGCCAACGAGAGCGGATGGAGGGAAGGAATGGAATGACTAAGCACCTATTTAGGTGTGCAAGGAATGACACAAAAAGATGAGTGAGTTCATTGCATGATGAGCAGAAAAAACGGAGAAAGGCCAAACACATGAAAACAGATAAGAAAAGAAATGAGAAGGAAAGCAAACCTGAAAAACACCAGACAGGAGCGGTGAGCTGGGCCTACAAGAGCGGATGGAGGGAAGAAATGAAATGACTAAGCACCTATTTAGGTTTGCGAGGAATGACACAAAAAGATGAGTGAGGAAATAAGAGAAAAAGAAAGAGAACAAGCAATACAATCATATAACTAGAGCTGGTCACGGATAATCCGCCGCGGATATCCATTATCCCCTGGCAGATACCGGCTGGTACCAACAGATACCCGCTGTGGTAAGCCAATCCTGAATCTCAAGGCACAGCAAGACCACATATCACACAGGAATCACAGAACCATGACCCTTCAGGAATTCCCCAGGCCCTCAAACAAAGGTAACACACCAATAACCCTCACAAGTATCCCCCTCATGGATAATAACATCTCCCACACCTCTGAAACCCCTCAGATGAAACCCAAGACCAAATTCCTAGTTCATTATTGATAAGACTTAGCTCACACACCAGCTAAACACTAGTAACCCTTCTCAATATAACCTCAAACCCCTCTAAAAATATTCCTTATCTCTTATCTCCTTCCATCTTATGCCAAGAATTCCCACACAACAGCGATGTTTCATACTAGTCCTCTTTTGGTACTTTCTTCCCATTGCCTGTTAAATCTTATCTGGGTGAAATAATCATCCCCAGCTCTTCCCCTTGATAAGATTGTCCAAGCCTCTCTGTTTCAGAATGAATTGGCCCTTTCTTTGGTTTCAGTCTAGTCTTATCTTATCTTAGTGCCACACTAAATCAGGCCACATTGTTCATAGTTACAAGTTTCTTCCTTGTTCATTCCTTTCTCCATTTTGTTCCATCCATCTTCCAACCACAAATTGGCCACTCCCCAGAATCTTGTATATAAGGAGCTTTGTTTTTCTCTTCATTTGTTCCTCATCAGATCCTGCCCCAGCAATTCAGATAACTGATCACCCGCTATTAGCCAGGTATTTGCCCATCAACATTTGGGATACCTTGATTTGTGACAATTTTATTTAGACTAGTAACCATAAGAAATATTAGACATACCATCCTCAAGAAATCTCCACAGCCACACCTTTTTCCTTAAGAGTCCATACTCTTATATTTTATTGTTATCAGAGAGGCTGTCAGATTGCTACTATGGCAGAGACAACCTGTCATAGCAAATAAAAATAATAAATTACATAAAAAATCTAAGTATAAATTAAAAGTATTACATAAGTAAAAGAAACAATATTACTTATGTAAATAAGATAAAAAATACATAAAAATAAATGAATAACTTAAAAAGTATAAACAAAACCTTGAATGTTATTGCAGATTCTGAATCAGCATGCAATTTAACCTAGGGTACCTCAGCCAAAGGTACCCCAAATTCTAACTCCTTCAACCTGTAATACAAGCATGAATAGTTAACAGGTACCCCAGATCACGGGTACTGTGACACTTCTGCATAATGCATAATGCATATACTCCAAATCCAGTCTCAGAATTGGAGTATTGTACACGGTTTAGAAGATAAAGCAGTGTGGAGTCCTGTCTCCAAGCCCATGTGCCACGTAGTCATGCTGCGCACCAGTATCCAAGGATTGGGCCACAAAAGCCCCAGAATCCCCCTTGCACGTGGCAACAAAGCCCCCACACGTGTAATAAGAATGTGAACAAGCTAGAATATCCATGAAAATACTACAGTAACCATATTCCAGTGGGTAACACGTGTAGCAAGCCTCAGAAGACACCTCTGGAATATTCTGTGGCCCATTTCCAAGGAACCTGCTCCACGTAACAGAGTAGCCCCTATCCACAGGTTCCCATGGGACATTCTTGGCCGTAATAATTTCGTGCATGACCCCTTGGAGCTTCTGGAATGTTATCCCCAAGGTTCCAGCCCTGGTTACATCACCATGTGGGCCAAAATGGGCCCAAAAGCGCCCCCAAGTCCTACTAAGCTCCCCTGAGCAACCCCTGAGGCCTTCCACAGGTATTTAAAGGGCCTTCTGACCGCCCAAATAATGATCCCCCAGCTTTACAATACCATATAGAAACATACTTACCCTTTACAAGTCCCCTACACTTGTAATTAGCCTAGTTACTACTATTATTGCTGTTATTAAAGCCTCAAAATTCCTCAAGAAACTCAACAGTTACCAACCAGCACCCAAAATCAACCTTTCTGAGCGCTCCCAACTGTCCAGTTTCCACATTGAAGATCCTCAAGACCCCATAGGATTATTACTAGTAAGTAATAACCCTTTTCTTGAGATTTTCCCCTTAAATTCTTCCTGGGATTTAAACCACACCTGTTCACAGGCCCCAGTGTTCCAGGTACCTAAATCCTCTGCTTTTTGCACGATACCTTAGAGGGATTAAACCAACCCTGATTTATCAGGCCCCTCTTGTTTTATTTATATTAATTTTATTAGTATAAATTGGCCACTTTTTGGATTTAATCCATAAATTTCACGTAATTCTTCTGAATTACTTATACCAGTTTTGTCCCTGAGGTTTTACCATAAAAACTCTTAGTTTTTGCACCTTGTGTAGCTAGAAGACACTTGTCTTGGCATCACATAGGCTGACAGAGGCAGCCCATTAAAGCATCCATCCCTCTCAAGCTCTATTCCTACCAAGAGTAGAACCACACCGCCAGAGGGTGCGGATGGCCCCTTTTCTGCAAAACCCTGGCGGGTATCCGTTGTGGTGTTCTAAACGGTACAGGCCCCCTCAAGGTCCAATTTCAGAATTCAATTTTCAAATTTTCAATATCCTCAAGAATCAAGATTTCAAGATTATCACCTCAAATACCCACTCAGTCCAACGGTTTCCTCATTTTATTATTTTATTTCATTTCCTCTTATTATTTACTCTTCATGTTATTTTTTATTCATCTTGATTTTATTTTTTATCATTTTATTATTCTTACTTATCTTTTTAAAATCATTTACTCAGAAGACAGTGTTGTTTCTTATTTCTTGGTCCTAAGACATAATTTCATTTATGTTGGTTTATTCTGATCTTTTTTGTTTGTTCCATTCTGTGTTCTTCCTTTGTTCTTTTGTTGTGTTGTGTGTGTTGTGTTGTCTTGTTTTTGTTTCTGGTTGATTGGTGTTGTAGTTAGGGATGTGATGACATGTCACTCCCCAGAGTCAAAGTTCAGTTTGAACTGAGATGATGGGGCGGCATGGCATTCTGATCTGATCCAAGACAGACCCATCAAACCTTATTGATCATGTTTTCTTGATTCTTCTGATCCTGATACTCTTGAACTCAATTCATCTTCTCAGATCTTCTCAATTCAAACCTTACTCTTCTCAAAATCCTCAAACTCAAACCACCGCCACAGAACTCAATTTCTGCTGTCTTCTCACGAAATCCAACCCCTCACACTTCTCATCTGGACCTACGACGAGGGCAGCTTCTCAGCACCTTCCCCTCAACCAACTGCCACCGGCCAGCACCGTTGGAGTTCCAAATTTGGTCCCCTGAGACAGCCTGAGACTGTAAATCTCTCTCTGAACATTGGACTTGGCTCATGCTTGAGTGAGGCTTGAATTGTCAATCACAAGGTATCCTTCTAGAATCGTGGAAGCAAGGTGCTTATCTTTTGTTTGCTACTAAGTACAAGCCAGTCGCCAAGAAGATCAAGCCTGTGAACAAGCCAATGCCCGTTGGACTCAATCCGCCTCTCAAACACCCCCCTCTCTCCCGCGACCCGTATCGTGAACTTCCTAGGTCTCTGGCTGGCCCTTTTGTTGCTTGTGGATGTGTCACAGAAGAACGGCTTTCAGTGGTTGATTTTGGACCAGCAATGGTTGGCTGTCTCCGGACGAATTGAATTTGATGAAAAATGTTCTAGCGCTGCGGGAGAAGTCGAT